TGGAGTCCCACTGTCACACCGTGTAAGTCCTCTATGTCTTCTTGTGCTTGTGGTTTAAACAGTGGCTGATGATGCAGTGTTATAATTATCAACATGTCAGTTTAAAGAACAGTGCTTTTGTGTTGTGTATCTGTAGCGATGGAACGGTCAGATTCTGTGCTCAAGCCTGTGGTGATAGTCTTCATTTGTCTCGGAGTACCCATGGGCCTGCTGGCTTTGCTGCTGTTTGTGCGCTATCAGAGGTATTGTTTTAACCTGCCGCCACATATGTGACTCCTCCTTTTACTGGTTTGTTTTGTTTTAAGCTGTTTGTGTCTCTCTCTGATCCACTTTGTCATGATTTTTAAATGTGAAACTGGTGAATGTCGGAAAAAGAACAAAGTTGAAAAGGAGAAGTGAGAGAATGGCATCTTTCTTCACACCACAGCATCCACCCTAACGTTCTTCAACCTACAGGCAAAAATCCCCCGGTTTGACTTGTTAACTAACCAAATAAGGAGAATGCAAAAGGAGATACAAGATAAAACACTTCCTCCCTTGCATCTGTTTTTTCCCCCTTTTAAAACTAGAAGCGTGTCAAGGATCATTTTGTGTATACTTGTGTGTTTTAGGGTGACTAAGGTCCTTTTTCCTCCGATTCCTCACCCCCCAGCAAAGTACAAATATTTCCTGGAAAAAAGTGATGCATTTAATGTGAGTACATTGTGGACTGTGAATACACAAGCTCACATTTCTAACACTTTTCGAACCACAAAGATGTTTTTTGTACAAAGTTTAAAAGCTTTGTTTCCTGTTTTGTGTTGCCAGTTTTTCTATTCTACCCCATCGGCTAAGCCTGAAGAAGTGATCACTGAGGTTGAAGACACTGGGAAAAACCCTGGGAAGTAATACAGGATGCACAGGTTGAAGAAGAAGAACAACTTTCATTATATCTAAATGTATAGCCTGTCTAGTTTTTCTTATATGATATTTCATTTCAGGAGGCGTATACAGGTGTTAAATACATGCAAAGGTTGTGTTTATGCATTTCTATGTATAGCCTTGTAATCTAGCCTTTCAGATCTATATATACCTTTTATACCTTTTGATACATATAAAGAGTGCATACCAATGTAACAACAGTACAAAGGTTAACTTTGTATGTCTTTTTTAAATATGTGAAATAAGGTTGGGGGATGAATATTCATTAGCTGTTTTGAATCTCATTCATACAGCCTCATTCATCTTAAGCCTTCTTTTTAGATGAGTGGTGACTTTGGAGTAGTTTAGCCTCTTAAGTGCATCCCAATAAAAGCAAATATGGTATATTTAGAGAACTATTAAAAGTGCGAATTAAAATTAAAAATTAAAAAAAAGAAGATGAGGACTAAAGGGGAAACACGAACATGGGTCAGCCATGGGAGTCAAGCCAGCCTTGATAAAATGTGAGATTTTAAACAAAATGTGAATAAAGCCAAGTTAACCTCAAAGAAGAAGTCTGAATTTCTGAACCGGAGATACCTGTTTTCGTATCAGAGATTTACATGCTTAAAACTACTGTTGTGTATGTGAAGCTGTTATACTTACCTTAGCGCACCGTCTAACAGTAACAAAACATTCAATTTTCTCCGAAAAGTAAACAAATGTTTAACTGTTGCAGGCTGAGAAACACAACAGCAGTCTATTGTGTGGTTTTTGCACTTTGGTTATTGTAAAGATTGAAAAGAAGATATAGACTTTGATCTACCTGATGACGCTTAGAGGTGCTAAGATGGATTTTCACCACACTTTAAGTTTATCTATCAATGTGTGATCATGGGAAATTGTAGCTCTGTAGAGGCAACCACCGCAAAGATGGAACTTCTGTGTTGGTATTTTTTGTGAATAGATTTTGTCTAGTGATAGCATGCCAGATAGTTTTGGCTAGTATGTTATCAAAACGAAAGCCAAGTTCAAACTTGTACACAACATAGTCAGTGTATCGCTGAGTATTTGAGCATTAACACGTACCGTATTTTTTGGACTATAAGGCACACTTAAAATCCTTTCATTTTCTCAAAAATGGACAGTGCACCTTATAATCCGGTGTGTCTTATGTATTGTGTGTTATGTATTATGTATTGTATGTATTATGACCTCTAACCAATTTTATGTGGTACACGGCGCTCATTAATCTGTCAAAAATTGTTTTAGTATGACATTGGTAAGCTACAAAGCCACAGATCTTGATGGATTGTTGGATCATTACGGCTACCGTAGTCAGGAGCCTCGCGGAGTATTCTGGGTCCAAAACTCCATCTGCTTCAGGTCCCAAAGTCAAACAAACACTGCAGCATCACTGAGAGTTAAAAACTGTCTAAATTCTTTCATTTTTAATAAAATGATCAGTGTTGCTGCTTTACCAGGTGTAAACATTAATTTTAACATCCAGGCATCCATGAAGTTAGAGTTAAAAGTTAGCAGGGTGTTAGCTCGCTAGTTTCCACCTAAATATGATATAGCATGTTCTGACTGAGAGATATCTGAAAAAAATTAAAATGTACAGCTCTGCTTTCACTTCCCACATAAATAAAGACAGGGAACTAAACAGCTGTTACTTTTGTAGGGTTACTGAAGTTGGGCTAGCTGGTATATAATGATGTGCTACGGGATCGCTAGCAACACCTATGTTAGCATAACATAAACACAGTGAAGCTGGAGGAGAATGATAACATTTTTCCACTCGAGTTAACGTGAGAGTTCCCGATAGTTAGGGACAAATGCAATTGCATGGCAAGATGCTGTGAACAGACCAAACTTCAGTCAGGAGAACAACTGAGATAATCCATCCACAATATGAGGTTTGCATTAATATACTGCAACAACATGGGAATCCGGTCTTTAAGTCTGACGTCACTAGTCGTGTCTGGGCTCAAACTCCGCTGCAGGTCCCTAAGTCAAACGATCACTATGGCATTACTGAGAGTTGAAAAACTGTCTAAAGTCTTTCATCTTTAATAAAATGATCAGCGTTCTGCTCTACCAGGTGTAACAATTGAGTTTAACATCCAGGCATCCATGAAAACGGAATTTATGACATTTAACGGAGTTAGAAATTAGCAGGAAGTTAGCTCGCTACCTTCCATCTAAATACAATATAGCATATCCTGACAGGGATTTTGGAAACAAATTCAAACGTACGGCTCTGCTATCACTTCCAACATAAATGAAGACAGAAAACTAAACAGCAGTGACGTTTGTAGGATTACTGAAGTTTGGCTAGCTGGTATATAATGATGTGCTACGTGACCGCTAGCGACACAGCTATGTGAGCATAATATAAACACACTAACTTTTTTCCACTTGATAATCGGACCAATCGGACCAGGAGTGACATGTTTAGCCGCATGTTCTCCTTAAATTGCTGGCTGTCTGAGTGGTGTCCCAGAAATGATGTGGGCTTCATAGATAATTGG